AATTTTCTTAAAGTGGTAGCGCTGCCTGTTGATGGTAAAGTTTGTCAGAGATTGCAAATCACTACAGGATTAGTGATTAAAGTAGTCCCTCCTCCCCCGTGTTTTGAGAGGCAAAATAGAAAAATTAACATTGGACTAATTTAGAGAACCTTTAAGAGTGGTCATAGAATGCCATAAACAAGACTTGTCTTCTTTTGTGTATCAAGGTCTACTGTGGTTTGGTTTGGTTCCTCCTGTATGGTTCCGTGATTCTTTGTGCAGATTACTAACCATGAAAAAGTCTACCCCAAGGGGTAGAAGTTATTTGAAAATGATTCATTTTCCATGGCCAAATAGCATGTTTAATCAATGCTTTAAAACATTTCCTTTTTTAAAGAAATGAAAACTAGGAGGATCACATTGATTCCTTAAGATACTTTTATCATTAATCCTTTTTGAGACTTCAATAATTGGGATAAGTATCATAGTTTGGGCTGATTCTTAATACGCTAAAGGTTTTTTTTTTTTTAACGCAAGCTGTAGATATTTTCATTTTAAGTCTAGCAAAAATTCCTAAGTACTATAAATTTTTAGGTATTTAGAAACCTATATAGTCTTGAAGTACCTGAGGTTTACAATGTCATATACTTTAATAACTTCTGAAGATTAGGTTTAATAAGTGGGTAACTATCAAGCATTTCATTACACATACTTGTTTTAGCATAGGCATTATTTAATGTAACTGTGCTTTCAGGATTATTTATATCTACCAGTAATTAAATAAACCAACGTAAAACTGATTATAAAAAACAAGGTTGCTTGGTAGTAAGCCACTAGAAAACTAAACATCAAGCTTCACAAAGAATAGCAGTTTAATGAGAGGAAATTTAAAATGAAATGTTTCATTCCAAAGGGAAGTTGCCATATTTAAAAAACAGGGTATTTAGAAGTTGTCCTTCCTTCCTTCCTTCCTTCCTTCCTTCCTTCCTTCCTTCCTTCCTTCCTTCCTTCCTTCCTCCTTTCCTTCCTTCCTTCCTTCCTTCCTTCCTCCTTCCTTCCTTCCTTCCTTCCTTCCTTCTTTCCTTCCTTCCTTCCTTCCTTCCTTCCTTCCTTCCTTCCTTCCTTCCTTCTTTCCTTTTTTCTAAATATCCCCCACTGATGCTTGGATTTTTTTTTTTAACAGCAAGCCCTGTTCCTTTGAGGTCTTATTCCGCAGACATAGGGACTTTGATCTTTTAAGTAGTACTTATTGACCATCTACTCAGCCATGCTAGGCACTACCGTATTGAATTTAATAAATTGCTATTGCCCTTTTTAACTATCATTTCACAATAGACCTTGGGTATTTTTTAAAAAGATTTATTTATTTATGCATGCAAGAACTGGGGTACAGGCCAGAGGTGTGGGGGGTGAGAGGATTTGTTAGGGGGAAAAGGCTGTCCCAAAGCAAATTCCATACAGGCTTTGTGGACTCCACCCCCACCCCAGGTCAAAGCCAAAGACACTGGGAACTCCAAATCCCATCACCACCAAAGGGAAGGTGGGTGGGACCTGAGGGTGGGGTTAAGCAGCCAGGTGGATACAAAAGGCAGACACGTGGGCTTTGGGGATCCCCCATTTTGGCTCTCCGCCAGCTTGCAGCGTGAGGCCAGCTCTGAGAGTGACTTTGGGTTTCCAGGTCGTCGGATCGGGTAGGACGCATTAAAGACTTTATTTCCCTATTTTCTCCCTGAGTTGTACATTTTCCTTATTTCTTTTTCTCTTGTAAATAAACCTTTTATTAACCCTTTTGCGTGTGTCTGTAGTAGAGTATTCATAAGTCCTTTTAAAGCGCGCGGGTGAGGACCCACAGCCAGGAACCCGTTTAATATCGGGGTTGCTCTATAACAGATTCACCAGAGACAGAGTGGGGAGCAGAACAGGCAGATCTACTGAAATACGCTGCTGAGGGGAGCAGTGGGCGAGGCAAGAGAGGTCTGCCACGCCATGTGGGTAGCTCCCTGGCCCGCTAGGGATGGAACTTCTGCTGCAGCAACTGGCAACAGCTTGATAGCGCTGTCTTTAACTCCTGTGCCACCAGAGAGGCCAAACTTCCATGTTTTAAGGGCAAATAAGAGGTTGCTGCATTGCTTTTGGAAGATCACTGTGTGCAGTGAGCCTTTAAATCCCGTGCTTCGGCTCAGTGCTTGCTAACTAACCTTGACCATCTTACATAAACCCCCGGGGCCTCAAGTCCTCCTCGGTCAAAGGGCTGTATAGTACTCGTGCCATTGCTGTGGGGCTGAGTGAGAAAATAAGTGCACAGTTCTTAGAATTCTGGCTGGTACACACTAAACCCAGGTGTGTGATTGTTGTGTTTCCTCCAGAGTACACTGGATGACAGCACGAATGAGTGTCTTGGGGACCACCCTGTTACAGGATGAATGTACAAATGAAAGAGCAGGTCAGTGACTGGTTCCTGCGGGTTTTTAATTATTCCTGAGGGTTTTTAATTATTATTATTTTTATAAGAACCGAGGTACAGTCCAGATGTGCGGGAGGGTGAGAGGATTCACCAGAGACAGAGTGGGGGGCAGTACAGGCCGACTGACTGAAGTGCACTGCTGAGGGGGGCAGTGGGCAAGACAGGAGCGGTCTGCCTCGCCATGTGGGTAGCTCCCTGGCTGGCCGGGGCTCGAACTCGCGCTACAGAGGCTGCGGCTTGCTTCATAGTTCGGTGCTCAACCCCTTGCGCCTCCAGAGAGACCCTGATTCCTGAGGTTTTAAACCAGCTAAATTATCCCTTCAAAGTCTAAGCAAAACACTTTCTTGACAACACAGTCCCCCATCGCAGCCGGAAGCCAGGTCGGGCAGTGGGCAGGCCCAGCCTGCCGGAAGCCGACCTCCCGGCCAATAGGCGCGTCTTTGGGAAAATGAGCGTCTCGTCCGACCTATCGTGAGGCCGCGAGAACAAGGGCGAATTATCGCGAGGTTCCGTCTTCCCTCCGGGGTTCTGTTTCCCCTAACCCTCTGTCGCCCGCGTTCCGCCCCGCCCCGCCCCTCGCCGCCCGCGCCTCGCCCCGCCCCGCCCCGCGCCCCGCCCTGCCCGCCGGCCCTCGGCTCGCGGTCCAGCGCCGCCTGCGCCCTGGAGCGCTGGCTCCGCCGGCGCCGAGGTGAGTGCGGCCGGCCGCCCCCGGGTGGCTCCCAGGGCGAGGCCCCAGCCCCGAGCCCCGGCTCCCAGGCCCGCCGGCGACAGCACCGGGGCCGCGGCGAGCGGACGGCGGGCCCGGCCGGGCCTCGGCTCGCCCCCGCCCCCGGGCCCACCTCGCCGTCGGCGGCCGGAAGATCCCCAGGCCCGGGCTGGGAAGTCGCGGTCACTGGGCTCGCAGCTGCCAAACTGTAACGACCTTCGTGTTTGGTGAACTCGGGCACCGTGGCCTGTTTTGCCTGATCGTGCCAGCAGTTCTGAGGACTGAGAAAATAACCTGTTGTAATGCTGGTAGATACAGCTTTTCATCCTCTGATCAAGCTCCAAGCTTGGGAAATTGGAGCCGGTATTCTGCTTAATGCAGGAGTCAGTCCAACGGTCTCTTTGAAAACACTAATGTTTATAATGTGTGGATTTTTTTAAGCTCGAATTCAGTGGGACCAGTGGGCGAGCCCGGAGAGGTCTGCCTCGCCGTGTGGGTAGCTCCCTGGCTGGGCGGGGATCGAACTCCTGCTACAGAGGCTGCGGATTGCTTCATGGTTCGGTGCTTAACCCCTTGCGCCACCAGGGAGGCCCTGATTCCTGAGGTTTTAAACCAGTGTTTCTTTTTTAAATAATACAGTGGATTGGTGTTTACCAGTTAGAAAACCCTTGGAGGTGAAGTGGTGTGCAGTTAAAAATAAGTGTACCACTATATTCAGCTGTAGATAAGAGCTAGTGAAGGGAATCTGCCTAAGAAATTCCCCTAGTGAAAGCTGTGTAGTGCCAGTGACTGCCTATTGGAAAACCATTATTATCATTGATTATTAACAGCTTTCAGGGTTCATTTGTGTAAGTTTTACCTACCAAACGACCTTTGTAACAAGATGCAATTTACCAGGGTGTAATAACTTTTCTTTATGGCAGCCAATCCTAGCGAGAGGATTCCGAAAGAGCTGCAGGTTGCAGTGAATTCTCTCCTACTGAATCCTTAGTGAGTGTAGGGTTTGTATGTAGTTTTGCTTTCTAGTCTTATGTTTGTATAAGCCTTGCCTACCATCTAACTGATAGGAAGGTATAGCGTGGCCCTTTGAAGTGCGGGGAAACACTGCATGGTGGGTGGCCTGCAGGCATTGGAGTAACTGCTCCTGGTTTGTGATTCTGGCAGGAGCGCGGGAGGGTGAGAGAATTCACCAGAGCCAGAGCAGGGAGCAGAGCAGGCAGAAGGACCGAAGTACACTGCTGAGGGGAGCAGCGGGCGGCAGGAGAGGTCTGCGCGCCATGTGGGACCCTCCTCCGGTGGCCGGGGAGCAGCCGGGGATCGAACCGGCGCTGCAGAGGCTGCGGGCAGCTTCGCAACCCAGCGCTCAACCGCTGCGCCACCGGGGAGGCCCTACAAGTTGACATTTTAGAGAATGAGAAAAATCCACCTTGCAGTATTACATGTCTCACTTTCATCCATTCATTAGCTGTGTAGGGATCTACTTAAGTTTGGGATTCAGTATTTTACTTAATTAAATAAGCCAGTCTAAGAAACCCCTTTTCTTTGAAAAACTTCTGCTTAAAATGTGTGGAATTGTCTTAAAAGTGTTTGTTTTTAATAATAATAAAGTGGAGCTGAGGCATGTATACACAAGTGCTGTAAACAATAAGACCTCTGTCCTCAGGGGCTTAGAGCCTCTTAGCTTGATTGATAGTAGACAGATACACCAATAAATATATAGATTACAAGTTATAAGGAGTTCTACAAAGGAAAAAAATCTGAGATTTCTCGAAAAACAACCAGTGAATGTTTTGGGGAAGGGAAGTGAATTTTAAGTTGAAACCTGAAGGATGATGAGACAATGCTTTCCAGGCTAAGAGGACAGCAACCAGTGGTGTGAAAAGTAGGCACTTTCAAGGACTAGAAAAGCCCAGGAGCTTGGTGAGAAGCCAGGAAGGGTGCTGCGGGATAATACTGGAGAAGTGGGTGTCGCCAGAGCCCGGAATGCCAGGTAGGGGTTTCATTTTCTAAAGTGTTCATAGGATTTATTTAGATGTGCAGGCACTAGTGGGTAGGGAGCAAGTGTGCCTGAAAGAAATTGACATTTTAAAAGCGTCCTTGCTGAAAAGTATTAGAAAGTGGCTAAAGGAAGACCAGTATTACAGTTGACCTGGCAGGAGATGACAGTGGCTTTTGGTTTTGGCAGAGATATGTAGATGGGGCTTAAGATATATTTTGGAGATGGAAACCACGGGCCTGTGATAGATTGGAAGTGGCAGGTGAATGACAGAAGAGAATCCTTCATGACTTCCAGCTTTCCTGCTTGAGCAGCTGAGTTGATGGCATTGTCTGCTTTTAGCTGAGTTGGGAAAGACTGGGGAGGATTCTGACTAGTGATAAAGCCATACACACTCTTGTAAATGTGTTAAGTTTGAGGTTTTGGCGAGACATCTAAACTGCTTCCAGTTTTCTACTCAAGTGAATAATTACCTGGAAATCTTCCTTTTTCACTCAGGATCACAGATGCTATTTGTAGTCTAGTTCCCCTTGCTCTATAGATGAGAGACTTAAGATGTGGAAAGATTAAGTGTCTTGCTCAAATCACATAACATGTCTTGTTAAAATAGGTGACAGGGTGGTGTGGATATGGGAAAGTATTGCCTTTACCTCTTGCGCTAGGAATATTGTTGAATATTCCATATTCTCTGTCCTTTTATGTAAAAAGGTAAGTGTTCTCTTATTAGGAGTTAGTGTTTGGAAATAATAGAAATAACTGAAAAGTTACAAGACTACTTATGGAAAGCTTGTTACTGTGTTTTGCACTAGCTTCTTAATTCCCAGTGAAAATAGTTTTTCTTCAGGGAAAAAAAAAATTTCTTTGGGAAAGGGATTTTCCATTAGATTTTAGAAAAGGATACCCAGGAAAACAGAGAAAACTCTTTAAATAAAGCTCAACTACTTTGTTTTAGCATTTCCTTAGTATCCTGTAGAACCCAGTGAGTCTGTCTCTATAAAGAACTCAGACTTTGAAATCCACTGGCCACCCACCCCTGTCAAAAAAAAAACAACCAAATCCTTGCGTTTATTCCTATGGGTTGGTAGAACTTGGACAAATGATCTAAACTCTGAGTTTGTTTCTTCTTTTGTGAAGTGATTGTGAAGTTTCTTTCTGGGCTGTACCTAGATGATAAGATTGTAAATGTTATGTCTTGGTCAGTATCAGAACTGGAAGGGAATTTAGTCTGTTTTGGGTTCTGGATTTTACCAATAAATTGCTGTCTCCATTTTCTATGTGGCCTACAGAGTTTGTAATGGAATAATATGAAGTTCTTATTTCCTAATATGATATTTTTTCTTTCATTGATGTAATGACACTGTGTCCTCAGACCTTTCTGTTTATCACTTGTGATAATCAGCAAAGCTAGAAAAGAAAAATAAAAAATAAAGAGATAAAAGAGAAAAGTTAGGATATAGGACAATATTTAGTAGAAAGTGAAGAAAATGAAGCTGTAAGTCATCACATTATATATATAAATATTTTTGTATCTTTAAATACAAAATTAGGTTAAGAAGGACACTATACTGTTTGCTACACTGACTTTTAAGCCTTTTCTTTGGTTGCATGTTACAAAGTTGGTCTCTGTCCTCTTAGTCAGGGATTCCTATTTCAAGTCCAAGAACTATTTTTTCAGTTAGGACTGTTTCTATTAGGTAGGAAATATAGCTTTAATAGCTAGAATATTTTTACTACATAGTTTTTATTTTAATTTCTTCTAAATATATGTAACAACTTTAGTTATGAAAGAAAAATGTTAGGGATTGAATGTATAACTCTTTTTAGTGTTTGCAAATAGCTCCATATGCTAACAGGTTTATTGGGCAGTGACTGTAAACATTATTCTAATCATTCCATGTCCTTGTTCTCTTTAGAAATGCACCAGTTTTAACAAGATGTAGTGCTGCAACGTGCCTGATGGGATATGTTCAGTCATGGCATCCGAACTTTGTAAGACGATTTCTGTGGCAAGGCTGGAAAAGCACAAGAATTTGTTCTTAAATTATAGAAATCTGCACCATTTCCCACTGGAGTTACTGAAGGATGAGGGACTACAGTACTTGGAGAGGCTCTATATGAAAAGGAACTCCCTTACAACCTTGGTACAGTATTATATTGCTTTTAAAAAATCATACTGTGATACTAAGTAAGATATTTTTTATATAATCTAAGATATGCAGACCAAGATGTACAGCCCTGCTTGTCATCTATACAGATAATGTGAATAAACACACAGGGTACACATTAACCAGCGCAGGTGTGAGATTGCACAGAGTTGTGCAGGGAAGCAAAATATTCACGAATATTCTACTTTTAAAATTGGCCCCCACTCGAAAACTGCTCCTCACTGAGGCTGGGCATCTCTCTGGGCTTGTCCTTTCTTTGTGAGTAAGTTTCAAACGTGTTTCAAGAGAAGGTCCAAATTATTTATTCCCACTGTTTATTATGAAATTTGGTCTTTGTTTTGAATGGATTAGCTCTGTGTGATCTTTCCCATGTATCACTCACCTTATTTGAATTCCCGTTCTTAGTCATTGTAGGTGATTTATGATGATTTGTTTCTTTGTGAATTAATGCGATCTTCATTCCCTGCTCTGCATTGGACTTTCATAAATATCTGCAAGTATATCTTACTGGTTTCAGCACATGGAGTTTTTCTGGAAAAGGCTTCCTTAATCTCGCTAAAGTGGATAGAAAGCATTATGAAATGTATCTTTGCTGTATCTCAGAGAAAATGGATGTATATCTTCCTTTCTTGGCATATTGGTTTATGTATTATTTTGAGTGTCCACTTTGATTTTTTTTTTTTTTTTAAGATTTATTTATTTTTATACAAGAACCGGGATATAGGCTAAATGCTTGGGAGGGTGAGAGGATTCACCAGAGACAGAGCGGGGAACAGAACAGGCAGACTGAAGAAATACACTGCTGAGGGGAGCAGCGGGAGAGACAGGAGAGGTCTGCTGCGCCATGTGGGATTCTCTCCAGCTGGCCGGGATCGAATCCACGCTGCAGCGGCTGCAGACAGCTTCACAGTGTGGCTCTCAACCTCCTGTGCCACCAGGGAAGCCCCACTTTGAGTTTTTAAATTAGATTATGCAGTTGTATGAGTCCTTTTGCAGACTCATCACTGCATGATGTGACACCATGTTACACCTTTTTCCTTCTTTGAGGAGGAAGTGATGTAAGAAATCATTTGTTAAGGATTACAGCCCAGATTTCCCCATGTTTCTTATTGAGGTACAAAGAGGAAGTGAGTGAGTTACTTCTTTGATGATCCGTCATGATGCTCTGGTGTGGACTTTGTTCAAAGAAATTGACTTTCACTTATAAAAGTTACAGTAAACTTGACTTTTGTGGTGGCTGTTTTTCAGCTGCAATTTTCTACTAATGAAAATATTTAGCTATCTATGAGAGTTTTAACTGCTACTCATAATAGAGCACAAGCACACATTTCATATTCCTGCTCTGACACCTTTTTATCCCCATCAAAGATTACACTGTTACATGTGATTAATAATATATTTTATTTTAATGCTGTGTCTTGGCTGGAACATTTGATTCACCTGAGTCGAAGAGTTTTATAAATTGTAAAGAGCTCTACAGATAAGAAGGGGTGGGGAATAGTAGCACTTGTTCTGTTCCCTGACCACACTGGTGATCAGACAGCTCACTGCACAGGAGTTGAAAGCAGATGAAATAGTACTTATCCTACACTGATGATTTAAGACTTTTAGAATGTTTGCTAGTGATACTGATAAAGTATATTTCCTAAAGTAGATTTAGTATGTAGAATTGTACTTGTAGCTACAAAACTGTCCAAAGGGAAGAAAATACATTATGGGAAATACAGGCTCTCAAACACGTTATGGGTTAGTTGGCCTTTTTCTCTTCTAAGAAAGTTTGGGAGCTTAGCAGTTGTTTCCATTTTAGGTTGTTCTATTATTTCATTTTAACATTATTTATTTTTTAAATGCCCTCTCCTCAGCATCCCCTATCCCTTCCACACCCCTTACCTAATGAGGCCCCTTGGTGAGAAGTCATTAATGCACAACCCAGAGTGACAAGATGTTGGCAAGTATGTTGGGGGTTAGAAACTCTCGAGAGTAGAATCCGAGTTTGGGTAGGTTAATTGCTGGGAAGGAGATTAGAAAAATAGACACCAAGACAGATAGGTCTTCAGTTTGCTTGTGATCTGGGACATGGGCATAGCTGGAAGGATCTTGACAACAAGAGATCTTTTATTTATTTATTTGTGTGTTTGTTTATTTTTAAGATTTATTTATTTATTTATACAAGAACCTGGGTATAGTCAGAAGCGTGGGAGGGTGAGAGAATTCACCAGAGCTAGAGAGGGGAGCAGAACAGGCAGACTGACAAAGTACACTGCTGAGGGGAGCAGGGGGCACAGCAGGAGAGGTCTGCGCACCATGTGGGACCCTTGCCAGCGGCTGGGGATTGAACTGGCACTGCAGAGGCTGCAGGCAGCTTCGCAGCCCAGTGCTCGCCGCTGAGCCACCAGGGAGGCCTTATTTTTTTTAAAGGTTTATTAATTTATGCATACAAGAACTGGGGTACAGGCCAGAGATGTGGGGGGTGAGAGGATTCACCAGAGGCAGACTGGGGAACAGAACAGGAGGACTGATGGAAATACACTGCTGAGGGGAGCAGCGGGGAGACAGGAGAGAGCTGCTATACCATATGGGTTAGCTCCCTGGTCAGGAATCGAATTCATGCTGCAGTGGCTGCGGATAGCTACATAGGTTGTGTCTCAACCCCTTGTGCCACCAGGGAAGCCCAACAAGAGATCTTTTTTCCTTCTCTTGTCTCTCTTACTCTTTTCCTCTCTTCTATTTTGTAAGAGGGGAGAATTGAGCCCTTGTAGTTGTTGATGGGAAATCTCCATCAATTCCAAGAGTTCAAAGTATAGAAAAAGTTGGGTTTTTTTATTTTATTTATTTATTTATTTATTTATTTAGTCCCCATACAATTCCCACCCCCCCTTGTTTTGATCCTGCTCCCTCCTCCCCCACCCCTGTAGTGTGTCTCTGGTTTATAGTTGCTTGTTGATTTTGATTTTTCAAAGTGTAGAAAAAGGTAATAACTAAAAGTATAAGATTCCTCATGAGGCAAGAGAGGATGTGCCTCAGAGTGTACATGGAGCCACTGGCTTCTCTAACGGTGCCCTTCCACCTTTGTAACGAGAGAAGGGGAGGATGGGTGCAAAGAAAGCTACAGATGGGAGCGGAGGCAGTTGAGAGAGTTCTGTCTGATGACTTTACTGGATAAGGTATCTCCTTGGAGAGTCAATTTGTGGAGTATGTAGGTTTGAAATGACTATTGTGAAAAGTCACATGGCAGATTGGGTAAAGAGAGGTAGTAGACTCATTGGCATTATTTGACAAGCAGTTGGCGGTAGGCTTATGGTCGAGCCATCTGCTCATGTAGGGGGTTGTCTACTGCTGTATTCAGTACTGGGGATAGGAAGAAGGTGGGCTGTTGCATTTGTGCAGGCTTAGGTGTTTACCGAGTATGGAGTGACTAAGGAGGTTTTGCATTTCAGCAAGAGTATTTAAAATGATGGAATGTGAAGTCTAAGTCGGACTAGAGGCAAAGAAAGAAACGAGAGGATAAGGTGAGTGGCGAGGAGCCTCGGGACCCATTGATGATGAATTCTTGTACTGAGGGTGACTGAGTCTCTGTTCGGGTTGAAGGTGGGATATGTGGTTGTTGAGAGAGACTTTAGTCTTGGAAAAGTTTCAGGTAAGGACAGGATATAAGAGTGAAGGATGGAGGGGGCTGAGGTCAAGCCTATTCACATTTCTTCCCCCACTCCCACTCCAGTAGTTGAGGTGTTTGTAAAAGTTGGAAAAGGGATATAGTTTACAAGCAGTAGCCACCAGTTCTTCTTCCTAACCTGGAAGTTTATCAAGGGAAGAAATTAGCAGTGGAAGCGCTTGAGGGCTGCAGTTCCAGGGAGCATGCGTGGGGGGTGTTCTTCAGTAGCAAAACTCAAGACTGAGATAACAGACCCAGAGTCTATGTGTTTAACCTCTTTGGACTTTTAGTTCCTTCATTTATAAAATAAAAGGCCACAGAAGACTTGGAGAAGGGACAATCTCAGCCTGGAATAGTGATCTAGCCAACTTCTCTTAATGAGGGCAGTGGGCAGGAGTCCTTCCTGGGGACATGAAGAGTGATTCACCCAAACCCTGATTGAGATCCCACTAGCTGCCAATTTTACTTACAAACTTGAATGGACAAGGAAGAGATATTGACATTTTAATGAAAGAGAGAAATCTGACTTACGGTTAAGCAATAAGAGCAGAGAGATCTTGATTAATCAATTAATCCTTGCAAAAAGAGAGAATTTAACTTAAAAACCATATCCTGTGAGACTGAAGGCATCTGGGGTAGGGGATGAGGCACAGATGTTGCTGTTGACACAGAAAACATTCCTGACCTTCCCTATCAAATATACGCAGGCAAATCGTAAAAGAATACACATAGTCAAAGCACAAGCAGATGTTTTAGTAGAAGTTATGAAACACTGATCATCCCCCTAGATTATCGATTAGATTGGCAAAAACTACTACCTAGTGTTGGAAATCATGAAAGCCCAGCATTGAAGATAATGAAGAGACTCTCCACCCCTATTGAAAGGAGTAGAAATGGGGGCTCAATAAATTTTGTGAGTGGGTGGAACAAATCTAACAAAATTTGACATGAATATATGAACAAGGATGTTCATCAGATCACTGTATGGAATGAATATGTATAAAAACCTAAATGTTCATCCCGGTGAGGCTGGTTAAAATTTGATAGCAAATTTTTGAGTGGGGGAAGAAATGTGAATAGGCTTGACCTCAGCCCCCTCCATCCTTCACTCTTATATCCTGTCCTTTTCTGAAACTTTTCCATGGCTAAAGTCTCTCTAAATAAATTTGAGTCCTTACATAAATGCAGGCACTGTTGTAAGTATTTTACCTGTGTTAACTTAGTCCTCAAAATAGTCTGTGGGGTGGGTGCTATTATTATCCTGCTCACTACGCAAGTAAACTAAGGCCAAAAAAACCCCGCACACATCAAACTCAATTGTTTT